CCTCGATTAGAATTGTTTTTGTATGCAATGATTTATCATTGAATTCAAATTTAACCCATACATTACAGTGATTTACTCAATGATGAAGTATGTACTCGACACCTACTATAAAACAGAGCGGTTTGTTGCTTTCCCTTTTTTTTTTTTTTTTTTTTTAAAGTATAAATATTTTAATATATTATAATACATTAACATGTATCTACTAGTTTAATATTGGATAGAAAAAAAAATAAATTATAATATGCATTTTATTATTTGATATAAAATATTTATTCTGTAACCCATAATTATTATATAATTTATATTATTATAAATAATATTATATTATATAATATTATTTATATATATATATTTTTTTTTTTAAATTAATTATATCATGTAAAATTAAAACTCAATATTATAAATTTATTGTATTACGTATAAATGTTCACTAAGGTATACATAATAGGTTTACAACATTATTTAAATTAGCCGTAATTATGATGATTTTTGATTTAAAAATTATATTAAAAACTAAGAAATATATATACCATTTATATTTTGAATAAAAATAAATTTAAAACGATTGATTAATATAATAATAATATACAAAAAAAAAAAAAGTAAAAAAATAACTTGTTTGTTTAGACGTTATTATATTTAAATAGGTAAGTACATTGTATGACATCATATGAAATGTTTTAAGTTGAAAATACAATATACTATATGTATGTCTTAGGATATCTTGTTAATATTAATTAAATAATTTTCAAAAATGTTAGTTGTTTTAATTAAAAAGCATGTGAATAAATGTACAGCTTCTGTAGCATCACCAGTAAACTGCTCTTTTAGAAACATTTGTGATTTAAAATGATTAAAATTAGTACGAATGTATACATAGTTCATGCTGTTTATTTTTCCAGCATTGGCATATGTTTGATCAAATTTTTGTAAAAATAAAAAAATATAGTTAATAATAATGACTATAAGAGAATAATTTAAAACAATTAATGTAAATTTACAGTTACAATATTTATTATTATCTGTATAGTGAAATTTTGTTTAATTATGGCTGGTTTATTATTATTGTTGTTTTAAATTTATGAAGATAAAAGTATAATTATATAAACTAAATTTCCATAAATATTTTAATCTGGGTATGACTGTTTTATAATTTTTTAGATTCTCAGTTACTGTAGAAGTGTTTTCCTGAAATTGTATGTGATTATTAAATAATTGTGAATTGTAAATAATTGATTAGGAATTTAACTAAACAAATTTTATTGAAATTATTAAAAAAAAAAAATAACTGTTGATCAATGAATTATTTTAAAATTTTTAATTTTTAATGAAAAAATTAAAATAATTGTGCATGCAATTGAACTAGCGTGGTGCTGATGATTTCAAAGGCCAAATTTAAAATTTCTTAGTATTTTTTTTCTTTTTTTTTCTTTATTTTCAACGTATTTTAGTTACTTAAATAATTATAAAATTCTTTAAAAAATCATTAAAAAATTACTTAAAGCGAATTACTTGAATACATTATTAATGTTAATTGACTGAGTAAAACAAGTTTGTAAAAGATATTATTTGAAATATATTTTTATGTAATATACCCATGTATTTTTAAATTACATCAGTTGAAGGTAAAGTTTCATTGACTATTATCTCTTTTCTTATGAGATAAATATAGAAAAATTTTTAGATTTAAATCCCTTCGAAAATATCAATGAGATTCTCGTAAAATATCCCAAGGTTCATAAACCACAAAATATCAAATGACCCAAACTATTTTTTCGCATATAGTATAAGAGGTCTTAAGATGTTGTAAAATGGTTATGAACATAAATCCTTCTTATACACTTTATTCGATTTACCATGAGCTGTTGGGAAAACATGGTATTGGGTATAGTAAGTTATTCGGTTAACTGGGTTCAAATAGAATTGTATAAAAAATAAATAAATATATATATATAGCACTTCCACTAATAAGTCAAATAGAATAAATGACAAACAGTGAATAAAAAAATAAAGAAAAAAGAGAATAAATCGTTCAGCGAATGAATATAAACACGTATTTAGTTATAACTATAAGTAACGGATTCAGTCAATACTGTTCCAACATTCACATCGATTAAAAGCCTAAAATTATGATGAGGACACAACAGTTATACAAATTCAAATCCTAATTATTTTAATTTTTAATTTGTGCATTTTAAATTTTCAATGAAATTATGTTGAATTAAATTAAAAATGTATTCATTAAAATATATTAATACTTAATGATATCCATTCAATAGTACACTGATAATATTATATTTCATTTGAAAAAATAAAAAAGATTTATAATTTATATCGTATTAATTAAAAATCACATTAATGTATCTATTATTTTATAAACCAATAATATTCGAAGAATTGAAAAAAATTTTCAGTGTTATAAAATTAAAAAAAAAAAAAGTCTCCAAAACAATGTCCGTGTATACTATATACATTTACTGCTCTAAATAGTTTCGCATTTATGATTAATAAATATTTCACCCTCTATAGCGCCATGAAAGAAAAAAAAAATTAAAAATAGAATATAACTTTATATTTTAAAAATTATAATTATATAATAATATTTATATTACTCGATTCGTTATTAGTCATATACTATATGTATATATAATTTATTTAATTGTATGTTAAACACAAAAGCTATTTGAACTAATATTAAATCTCTATTAACCAATCCTTTGTTGTGCTATTATATATTGGATATGTAAAAATAATAATATCGAATATCATAGTTCCAGTATCAGCTGTGATATTACATAAAAAAAAGTATGACACACTTTTTTAAAAATTTCTATAAATATCAAATATCTGAAAGTCAGCATTTTTTCTTCTTCATTTTTTTTTAAGTTGTTTAACATATCGTGATTTATTGATCAGTAAATCAGCTTTACTTAGAATTTTAGTTTTGCATGCTATTATTCATTGTCATTTTCAAATTTTAAAAGATAATACAGATATACAAGTTTTTCAACCATATACATGTTAAACTTGTCTTCGCGTACTAAAAATACACAGATTGATATTCTCCTTGTACTAGTAATATATAAAGAACTTTGTATACAATAAATATTATTAGAAAGTTAAAATAATATTTCGGAATCAACTTTTGAAAATAATTTTTATAAGTTGAAAGATAAAAGTATATTTCATATTTGAATATGGTCAATTAATGAATTATATTAAATCAAAAAATATTACACTAGCAATACGTTTTTTCAATTATACAGATAAAATATAGCAAATAGCCAATTCAATATAATTTTCATTTTCATTGCTTATATATTATATTTAAATGTTTATAAATAATATATTAGTTACACTGCACTATTTGAGCTATAATAATCGCTACTAATAGTGAAAACTTAATAAATTAAAGTAAATACAAAAAGTATAAGTTGTAAGGATGGAATTTGTCGGCAGTTATTAGTTAAAACTAATTTTACAAAATATATCAACATTTTTTGATTTTTTCTTTTTCTTTTTTGATATGGAATTTAAAAAAAAAAATCTTTTTTTTTTTAAATAGAACATAATATGTTTTTTTAAATATTACTAACATGTACCTCTTTACTATGAATTAAGTCATTTTATTAGTTATATTTTAATATCATGAAATTAATTTTACGAGTATATGTAGTTAAAACATAAATATTAATTAATAGTCAGATACAATAGCAATTGATCATTAATTTAAGAATATTTTTTTAATTTCCAAATGTTTGTGGTATTTAAAATTATTAAATAAATGCACTTTCGTTGTGTTAAAAATTTATGTAACTCCTAAGTGAATTGCATGAATAAAAATTCAAAATTATAAAAATAAATTATGAATAAACTCGTAAAATAATGTTATTCTTATACTGTATACATATTGTAGCTACACCTGTTATATGAATACACAATTTTCATAAATTAAGTGACTTTTCTCCGTAAATAAATAAATAAATGTAAATACTAACTAAAAATGTGAACACAGTTTATATTATTGATTAAAATTGAATATATCTCTCAGGTATACTTTTCAAACTATATTTTTTATTTACTTAGCAAAATTGTATAAAAAATATATTGAGTATAACTGACATAACATATCCGATAATACAGACATCTGAATTATTTTAATTTATTTCATTTTTGAAGCAAATTATTGTATTAAGATTTAAGACTACAATGTTTTGTATTTAAAATAATAACTCGTAGGGTGGAGTCGCCACCTATGGCCACGTTAAGCATTTTTTTTGTGAATATATTATACTAATTATAGTTATAATCATGGAAAAATCCTGAAATTCAAACCAAGTATACTTTATAACATGACTTATACTTGGTTAAAGTTTCAAGTCTCTGTAAGTTATAGTTAGGAAGAATTTTCAATTCAATTTTTAATTTCTCATTTTCCCCTATTATGGCCAGATCAACTCCGACTATGGTCAGTGATTTTCCCCACTTATGGCCATAATATTTTTTTAAATTTATTTATTTAAAAAAAAAATGATATAAGTACCAAATGTAGTAACTAATAATATATATTAGCAAAATATTAAATACAGAAAACTATGAGTGAAACACAAACAGTTTATTATGATTTAAAATATAATAATAACAAAAACAACCTATTTAACAAAATACAGTTCATATAAAAATGTAAAAAAAAATAATAATAACAGACTTATTTTATAAAAACTGATCCCTGCTTAGGATATATAACACTAGCTAGGTTATAATAAAAAATAAGTAGGTAAAACTTAATGAAACATTGTAATAAAAATTAAAGTACCTAGGTAGATAACTTTCTGGTAATAATTAAATCACATTTGTTGATTTTTGATAATAGGTTAGAATGTAGGAAAATATATTATAACAGTTTTATTATATAAAAATAGATCCCTGCCTAGGATATAACATAACAAAAACCTAGTTAGGTTATAATAAAAATAAGTAAAACATAATGAAGCATTGTAATAAAAATTAAAGTAAATAACTTTCTGGTAATAATTAAATAGGTAATAAGTAAATCACATTTGTTGACTTTTGGTTAGGCTGTAGGAATACATATTCAGTCTTAATATCTACTTTTTTCAAAAACATCAACTACACCTGGAAACACTGAAATAAGGTGTCTATTTTGAAGACGAAGTTCTGGAGATGGTAATTTGTACAATATGTTGGTTAAGTCAACTATTGATACATCATTTTCAATAGGTACAAACTCAGTGTTTTCCTCATTGTTTGCTTCAAAACATTGGACTTCATATTCACTTTTGCTAACTATACTAACTACTGTGGCAACATATTTGTATTTCAGTTTCCTTTTTCCTATTGATTCAAATTCTATTAAAATATAATCACCAGTATTTAAATCTGGTTGATCACTTGAAACTGGTAGAATCTGATCTAAACTTAAAGGCTGAGCTAAAGGTTCTTCGAAACTAACATCCATTTTTGAATTCCAACTTTTTTCTGATTCAGAGCTTTCAGTATCAGTAACGATTTTCTGTTTGATATTTTTATTAGCTTTAATTTGTGCCCTTTCTATTTTCTTTCTCTCTAACTCTTTTTTTTTTTCAAATGCTGCTAATTTTTTTTCTTCTTTTCTTCTTTCTTTTTCTTCTTTTTCATTCAATTTAATTTCATGAAATTCAACCCACTTGTCTGACGTTATTACACTAGGTGTATATTCTTTTTTTCTGGTTGTTTTAGATAAGGGTTGTACTGGCCACTTTATAATATCATTAAAAACAGTAGTTAAAGTTCGTTTGGTTGGAACTATAACTATAGACTCTGGAGTCGTATTCTCTCCAGGGATGATTGGGTTTTCTCCTGTTGAATATTCTGTGTCTTCTGCATGACTACTTGAGGGAATATTCAACCACATTTCTGGATTTAGATTTGATGTTGTTGGTGTTGTTATATCTGCGGTAATCTCATTCTCTGGGTTGTTTACATCATCCATGATTTGTGACCACAATGTAAACAACATTGTTGCGTTTTCATTCCCATCCCATTCATAGTGTCCTCTTTTAGTTCTCTTAAATTCATCTAATAGGTTAACATCAATTTTTTTAATTTTGGATTCTACAAACTGTAGGTGACACTTAATATTGTCGGCATTAATTAAAGTGTCATGCTCCGGTACAGTTCTTATAATAATTTTAGAATAATCCACATTATCTGCGTTGTAAGGATATATGCCAGTTGCACGAAATCCTGACTTGATATTACTAGCCATTTCTTTATCATATATAATTTGTGATAGAGCCGTTGGTACATCAAATTTAGATACCTCCTTTTCATTGTCAACACGCCACTGCTTCACTATTTTTTTCCATCTTGATTTGAGGGGACCAAATACAGCAACATCAAGTGGTTGCAATATGTGTGTTGAGTTAGGATATAATGCAACTAATATCAAATCGTTTTCACGACAAAATTTACTCAAGTATAAACTTAGGTGTGACTTGTGACCATCCATAAATACAATTACTGGTCGAATAATATTTGATTCGTTTATGAATGGTAAGAATATATTAGCCATATATTCAAAAAATGTTTCTGAGGTCATCCACCCTGTCTCAGATTTTCCGATTCCCCAACCAGATGGTGCAGATTTAACTAGGGTTGCTGGAATCCTTTCATACTTGAATATTGTGAGAGGAGGTGCCCATTTTCCTAAGGCATTTGTACCAAAAAGTGTAGTCACATTTTCTTTATCAGAGTTTGTATGTTCATCATACACATTTCTACCTCTCTCTCCAATAATTAATTCACCCTTTGGGGCCAAGTTAAAACAAGTCTCATCCATATTAAAGACTCTGCTGGGATCTTCTAGTATAGAAGCATTTTCACCCAGTACCTCATAAACTTCTTTGAACCAGTTCCTAATTTTATTTTCAGTTACTGATCCTCTGGCACGATTTACATATTCAGAATGTTTCTGTGATAAAATTTTATGTCTAGATAAAAAACTGTAGAACCATTTTTTCCCTGGACGATTATTTGAAAATGGTGTGTCTAAGTTTGTTTCATCAACAAGTTTTTTAACAGAACTTAACAAACCCTCACGACCTACTGGAAATCCCATTCGACTACACGATAAGAGCCATTTAACCAACATTTGTTCTGTTTCTTTACCTAATACCGATGTAACTCCACTATGACCAGTTGATTCTTCAGGTGATTTTCCAGATAACTTATTTCTTAAGGTGGTTCTAGGAACATTAAACGTCTGACTAGCTTTGTTCTCACTCATTCCATCATGTACAGCCTTTAATGCTAGTTGCACTTTTGATGGGGAATACATGAATCGTTTAGGTTTTGTAGTGGGTGTTGTCTTGGACTTTTTTTTTATTTTGGGTGTCATTTTGATAACCTAAATAAACAAATTGGTTACTTACTTTCTTTTTAATTGATTTATATAAGTAACTGATATGGTTATTAAAGGTAACAGTGGTGTTCTCAGCTATAGCCGTAGTATGGCCATAAAAGGAAACAGTAGTGTTCCGGGCTATGGCCATAGTATGGCCATAGGTGGATTTTTATAGAAATTGAGTTCCATTAATGGTCACTTGAATACAAGAGACATGGATTTATTTTAGACCTTGTTACATAATTTTACGTAATTTAATTGAATAAAACTTACCTAATGACGCAGGAACAAATAATAACAAATAATTTGAACATTAACAATAAAATATTGAAAAAAAAAGTGTCCTTAACAATTATGATAACAACACGGCATAAATACGATAATATAAAATTGGTAAATATTTTTACAGTGCTAACAACAAAATATATTATAATCCGTGTTATCAAATGAATTTGTTCAAGTTACTGAATAATGGCATATATATCTGGCCATTTTAATGAATAGATTATACTATTTACAAGGTAAACAAAAACGACCTGGCCATAGATGGGGTATTGGCCATAGGTGGCGACATCACCCTATATTTGTACTAATTAACACTTAAGGGTGTGCCTATTTAATGTCTTACAAGAAATAGGAATACCTACTTGATGATATAATGTTGATTATAATTACAAATTATCGTAAATTTAATAATTAATTTTATTTAGTATAATATATCTTAAGAACATCGAAATGTAAGCATATATTTTGTTTGAATATGGTAAGCTATTATATTAAAACATTTTTCATCGAAAACAACATGATTTATTCGTTTTAATGAAAAACATGTCAATTTAATTATGTTATTTATTATTATTGCTTATTTGACTATTTGTCATAAATAAACAAATATATTTGATGCAATAAGTTTTTATTACAATATTAGATCACCAAAATTTATTTATTTGGTTTTTTTAAGTATTTACCAGAATGCTCGTTTATAATAATATATTATATGTATATTTCCTCTAATATTTTAACTCAAAGTTAAAACGCACAAACCGTAAAATGTATTTATATTGAACTCGTTATTTGTAACACCAAACCAATAAATCATACATCAAAAATGTGTTGTCTATTTGTTTTTAGTAGTATAATGTACATAGAAAACATTTTTCTATTTCTTATATCGAAATTATTAGATGGAAAATTCAACTAGAGTTCAATTGCTTACTCGTGATTCTAGATACTTGTGCACAACGATGCATGACATGAAATTTGACTCGTACATCGTGACCAAATGACGATGGTTTATCATACAATAATGCACATTTTAAATGGTTAAATATTTAAAGTATATTATACTTTAGAATAACTGTTTTCTCGCTTAGTGTGATTCAAAAATTCTTACATACAGTTTACTAAATAAATAGTATTTTAAGAGTTTTTCGTAAAATAAAAAAAGTCACTGTGCGAGATACGGCTGCACACTAGACCGGGCGACGTGTGTAGGTACGTGCATGTGTGCGCAAGCGGCAGCTCCACGCAAAACCCGACGCGCTTGTTGTCTTCGTTGTGATTTGTTGAAGGTAAGGAGTGGACTGTATGTGTTGTGTATCAACAGGGCGCTGTTGAATAAAGGCACCCAACCAAAATACAAAGGACAATGGATCTTTGACGATTAACAAAATATATATAAATTTATTGCATCGTGTATACCAACAAAGTACTACTTAAAACTAAGGTCAGTAGATGATAATAACAATACGCGACCAAAATACGATCGGAAGATCAATACATCGAAGAATAATAATATATTTACAATACGTCGGAGACGAAATAAAAGGAATAATTATAATAATAATAATAATAATGTCGAAGTGACGAGTATACAAAACAAAACAAATGATAACAATATAATACCGTGTGTACGACCTGGTAACCGGATGGGTCGATGATAACACGACGATGCCGCTGGGCTTCTGCAGCAGCTGGTCTGGCACGACGATGAGACTCCGGCGGTGATAACGTCACTCGCACTACCGTTGAATTCGACGAAACGTCGAATACACCACGTACGTATCTGCGTAACAAGGACGGCTGACGGAACACGTGGGCGCGTGAACGAGCGGGGCTCGGCTTCGCACGGTAAAGATTAGATGGACGGCGGACACGCAATAAAACTTTAACTCTGACACGGGCGGCCGTGACTCGAATCGCAGGAACAACTCCGGTCCCCGAGGGCGATGAGTCGGTGAACACGAGGGGTTCACGGTAAAAGGTCAACACGGTTGACTAACGACAGCACGGTGATATGCCGAGAGGCTAACGGGCCAAAACACACGTTACGTACATGAACGCGGGGCGCAAGTTCACTCGGATATATAACAACATTGCCAAAACTTTAAAAAATGGCGAACAAGAAACCGGTGACGGGGCACCAGACCGTGGAGCGGAGACATTTTTTTGAGGACAAGACGGGGGACGACGCGAAACCACGCGGGAGAGAACGGTTGCGACGACACGCGCCTACCGGATACAAAAGGCACTACAAGAGTGACCGCAGCACACCCCGCGGCCAAACGCTCGTACCGGTGATCTGTACCCAACAGTCACATTTGTTGTAGTATAATATATTTTTAATAATGTTGACAAATAATAATAGGATGTTGTAATACATCTTGATAGGGTATACCTATACAAAAATTGAGTACAGTATATAAAAATACGTGCAAAATTATATCAAATACATATTTTGTTATAGTAGCATAAACAGGCGCTTACTGGTATTCATTAGGATATGTATGAGGTATATCATACAATAATGTATCAACTTTTAACCTATTAACGTGTTAAACTTATCAACCGATTTAAAACTATTAATCAATGGTCATATTTATAGTGGACCACGTGTTTTCATATTATTCAATATTAAATAATATTTATTAATTTCTTTATTATACTAGTATAAATTAATATAAAATTATATATTGAATATACGGTTACAGTTGTATTTGGGTCACAAAATATTGACCAATTATATGTGGTTCAAAATTAAAAATTTAATATGAAACTATACAGTGCTATTTCGATTGTTTTATTAATCAGGTTACTATTGGATTAAATAATAACAGTTGATTTCAATATTCCATTGATATTATAAAATATAAATGTTAATAAAACATTAATTAGGTATACATCGATATTAATTAGCGATTGCATACAATATAAATAAAATAGAAAACGTATATAATGAAGCAATTAAATAATAGATATTTGGACTCGATAATTGAGGATAACTGAATAATGAATAATAATATTAACCAAAAGCTTATAATTAATATGCTAATCATGAAAAATTTCTTCATTTTTGTAAAACAATACAAATTCCGATATGATGAAAGAAACCGAATTACTGAATAATATAGTATAAATTGTACTATACATAAAATTCTATTTTTTCCAAAACGAATATAATTAATTTTTACCTTTTAACAATAAGCAATTTAAAAGGCAAAATATTAAAGGTCGTGTACTTATCAATAACCTACACGATAATTGATCAATTTTGATATTGTCTATAAATTACATTAAATTAACCAATCATAATTTTGTTAATACTGAATAGGTACAGTGAAAGGTTTGTTATTAGGGGATAAATTACGTCAAAGACTATACATTTTAAAATGAGTTAGTTATGTTGAATTCATAATTATAATATTATGAATACATTTGTTAATCGTATGTATTAAAATAAACTTAAGCTATCACATTGTTTGGCTTAGATTTTAGAATGTATACTGTCATTTTCATTTTATGTATTAAATATTATTTTATTAAAAACTAAAAAAAAATAATATTATTTTGATTAACTCATATAACTATTTTGTGTCATTTAGGTTGTTTCTATTTCATTTTTTTTTTTTTTTTTTTTAATTTAAAGTATAATTAAATTTTATAATATGTGATCTAAAAAATAAAATATGTAACGTAAGGTGCACATCTGACAAACTAATAATTTACCATCATATATAAATTAAATAATAGTATTATTCAAATAGAAGCATTCATTATAAAGTGAAAGTTTATAAAAGATTAAAGAAAACTTTTTAAAATAAAAACAGAAACATTAGGTATTAAACAAACTTCTAAAATTAAAAAAGGGTTTTAATTGAACAACAATATTTTATTTATGCATATGAAAACTTATTTATGCACAAAAGTTAATAATTAGACAAGTTACCTTACTATATTATTAAGTATGTACATAGAATATATAAAAAAATGTTTAATTAATAAAACTGTAGAAATAAAGAATATTAAAAATACTAATAACTCAGATTAAATTGGTAATAAAAATGAATATGTTAAAATTTTAATGTTTAAAAAAATATAAAAATGGGTAACATCATGTTATAAAAAATAATATAATTAATAAATAACTTACCAGATATTAACAATAAAAAATATAAATTTAATTAAAAAAAAAAAATTATCAATTAAAAACTTAAAATAGTGTAATCTCTTTAATTTTTGTATCTTTTAAAAATTAAAACAGAAATATAATATGAACACACAAATAATTATATTTACATGTACATATCTCAGAATTAATAAATTAAGCCTATTTATAATAAATTTGTTTTACTAATTTTAATATGTAATTACATATTACTTTTTTGGTTAGCATAATACAAATTCAATTTTATCTTTTTTACTTTTATTATTTATATTGATAAAGAAAACAATTGATAAAATAATTTAAACTTAATTTTATTGTAAATATATCTAAAGCTTCGAGAGAGTGAGAGTTAATTAAATATTTGTTAATAATATTGAATGCAGATATTATTTATGTATTGACATAAAATAAATGACAACGATTTTTCAAAAATGTGGTATTTATATATCTATAAGCTTAAAATTCATCTAATATTTAGTATTTTATTATGGGTATATTATAATTATTATACAGATCTCCAAATTATATCGGGAAATTATATTGCTGGGTTGTAAGTGGAAGTAGTAAAATCGTTTCAGAATAATGCATATTTTTAAAATAATAACAAGCTTTACGTTTCAATCGTGGTTAAAATTTTTTACGACCTTTTCGATTTTCACCATACGATTGACAATAATAAAATTAAGTAATTATAATTTGATTAAATAGTTTATCTTTTTTAAATTTTATATATTTTTAAGATATTGTTCGAATAATTTTTAAGTGACCAAATACATTTGTCCACAACCGCTCTTATCATTATGACAATCCAATGTTATATGATATTATTGTAGAGAATATTTTATTCGATGCGAAATATTATGTTATAAGTGATCCGAGTTGTATGTATAGAAGTCAGTTTGAGGATGAGATCTTAGACATTTTCTAAATATTTTAATTTAATTTAACCTCTGTGTGTGTATAACGATAGTATAACACACTAATTCTCTAAATAAGTAAAACTAATCTTACGTTCATTGTAAATAAAAAAATAAAATAAAATACATATTTTAAATTATATACGCGATAATATGGATACATGGATATAGTCTTGTAATAAAAACTAAAAATATTCATTTGATGTATTGACTTAATGTCATGTTAGATTAATGGCATTAATAACAATTGGAGTTGATAAATTTGTATTATATATATTTGCATTATTATTACTTGATTTGAACGTTAATAAGGTAAAGTATAGCTTAAAATAAAACTTTTTTTTTTGGAAGAGCATATCAGTATTATACGATGAATATTTTTTTCATTTTTTTTTTTCATCCACTTTAAAGGAGAGGAAAGTTGAGATTATTAATGTCGCTTACCATCAGCGACATGTTAGTAGTTCTCGAAGTTATTTTCGTTGCCATTTTACTCTGTGCACTACAAAGCTCCTATTAATAATTGTTATGGGAGGAACAGTTTTATCTGGCATTGTTCAACTAAAACATAAATTACCAACCCGAATGAAGTTTAAATAGATAACAGAGCAATCAGCAACACGCGACCACGCATGTTGACCGTTAAAGTCAGACTGAATTTTAATGGTGAATTAAATAAAATGTTTTAATTTATAATAACACAAAAAAAAAAAAAATTGATAAAATATTAACTGCTATTTAGTGATAATTAAGTTAAATATGACCTTGAATCTTTACCGTATATTAATATATTAGTATTAAAAATAATATAATCTACTCCATAAAAATGTATATAATAACACCAGATATGAAAAAAAATAAATAGATTTATCTTGGATAACTAGATATGGCCAATTAACAATCAACACGCACTCACATATTATATTAAAATAAAATGTATTTTATTATTATTATTATTATTATAATCTTAAATCAATAGTTTAAGTTCATGACACAAATTTCAAAAACAACATTAAAATTTATATTATTTAATCTAATTCTAGATAATATATTTCTACACATATTATTTTTATGTAATTATTATTAGTATTTATTCAAATTATTTCACTAAGAGTCGTAAAGCTAAAGCACAGTAACGTAAAACTTTCTGTTTTTGCTAAATAAAAAAGAGCAACAGCGATGAAATACTTATTTTTTATTTTTTACCTTTAATCATTTTTAATATTCACAAACCTTTTCATATGTAAAACTAATCGATCAGAGATAATATTATGTTTATTGTACTTTAAGCTTTTCAATATTTATGAATATTTGCTATACTTAAATAAAAATTTCAAGCTCAGAAAAACCTTTATGCTAGTGTTTTTAAAATATTTTTTTTTTAATATCATAATATACCACCACACCGGTAATATGACAGAGTATAACGTAGAATGTAGATGGTTGCTTAAATACTTTTTTCTACTTTTGAATTCTAACCGAAGCGATAAATTTATATTGATTTTGAAATTACGAGTTTTTTATGCCAGTTAACATATTTTAAAGAAAAATAAATGCTTTAATTTTCAACTTTGAGGAGAGTTTCTAGTATAAATTAGATATTGTTAATACTTTTTTTT